TCTGATGCCAGTGAGATGAAAGCCAAAAAAAGAAACTAATAATTCAGATGAGCTGGAAAGATATTTGAAACTAACAAATGCCAGATTCATAGTGGTTTCATCCGACAATTATCAGACGGCCTCAAATTTTACTGAACAGTGCGAGGTTGCCATTTTCCAATAAGTTTTCTTCTTTTTCGCTGCGATTTTTTCCATAAACGCAGAATTTTCAAGACATCCTGCTGATTTGCAGTCGCACGGGCGACGAAAGCAGTGTTCCAATTTAGTACTTTTTGTTTAGTTCTTGAGTACTTAACATTTCTTGTTTAGTATTTAAGCATTGTCTTAATTTGGTGCTTAATTTAGTACTTCTCAGCAACGGAAAGCACATACATAAACTGTTAGCAGATCTACTGGCGGGATGAAAATTCGGCCAAAATTGCAGTAAAATGCATGCCAGGTATATCGATGGCACAAATGCACGTTTTGTGGAACATCAACTCATCTAAATATTGCATATCATTTACGAAATGGTATTTTGCAGCTGATAGTGCTGGACAAGCAATACAACCAGTTGGGGAGCGATTTCCGCGACCTGATCAAGAAATCGGAACAGAACTGCTTGACTGAAACGAGCGAGCATATTTCTCTCGACGATACTCTGCTCACTCCGTTTAGCAGTGGCACCACTGGACCGCCGAAATGCGTGGAGCTAACCCATCGGAATTTCAATACTTCCACAGCCATCTTGAAAACGTGATTTTTTTTAAAAATAGAAGACCACAGAAAGAATACAGAAAGCTCAGCTGCTAAAGTGTGCCTTATGGAAGGAGAAAGAAGGGATTTGTTTTATTTTCGCAAAAAATATCTGAAATCAGATTTTCGAACTGAAATCACTTCAGTTCTTAACAATCGCGCCCAGCTAGTCGATATGGGTACCCCAAGTTAGTGATGTTGCTGAAATGCTTCCACACGTCGTATACAGCTACACCAGACTCATCGATTCGGAGTTACACGTCTCTGCTTAGTACTCATCATTGTAAAGTGAGTCTAGAGTTCAGTTCTTATTTGGCTAAATGGTTTCGTTTTTTTTATTCAGTAAATATTTTATAGGCTGACTGCTGTGAGCCTGTAAGAACTGAACCCTAGTTTTATAATTTTTTCAGTGCAATTTTCGATGAACTGTCGGGTGGCCGTCGGCGAGTCACCATCGGAATGTTACCTTTTTATCATGCTTCGGGCTTCTGGGCTCTGTGCTACTGTTTGTTGGAAGGACATCGAACCGTGGTAATGGGTCGTTTTCATCCAGCATTAATGCTAAACTGCATCGAAGAACACAAGGTTTCTTTATTTCAATCGCATCTGCTTAAATTGATTTGCAGATCCAAAAGCAGAAAATGCGTGAGTTTTACGAATGCAAATAAGGGAAGTATTGATTTTGAACCAATCTTTTGGGACATAATTTTCTTTCTGACTTCATTTAATGAATTTTCTTTAAATAAGGTTAAGGATGATGGCTGTAGTCTAAAGAATAAGTACGCTTCGCGGGAAATGAGAGGTATGGAAGAGAACCAAGGAAAATTTCAAAAAAGAGTACTATGGAAACCAGAGAACAAAAAACTAACGTTAGAAAAGTTTGTTATAACACCTGATTTTGTCAAAACATGCTACTGATGTTTATTAACAAGAAAGGAATTTGCAAGTGGCTGAACTTGTTTAGGATAACCAATATAGATGAAATTGCTTTGGAGCTAAAGTACAAAATGAATAAGGTTAGTAATTTTCCGGCCAAAATTTCGTTTGCCGTGCCTGAAGCGTTGATGTACATGGCAGACGCATTTGAATGGGTTTCACATGAGCATCGAACATCCTCGTAAAATTTCAGCTTCTCAGCTTTTGTGGTCTCCGAGTATATAATCGGTGCTTTCCAATATCACAGTATGAGCACCCTGTTGTGCAGCGACGAAACGATGTAACCACACATGCTGGGCAGAAAAGTTAGCCGTGATCGAAAAAGTCACGGATTGAAATATGTTGCGTGTCAGTAAGCTGCAGCACGTTTCGATGAAGTACTGCAGCTTTGGACTGATATGAGCGATATTAACGGAACAATGAACGCGTAGAGGCTGTTCATATGCGAAAAGATAACAGACGGACAAAATTGGGCGATGAACGGCAGCTTTCTGACCATAATATGTGATTTAGGTTGATACATTGAACGTTGTGCCAGCAATAATAGCGACCTTATGCCAGGATGAAATTCATTTGACGCGTTGGGATCTATCATCAGTGACAACTGTATTGTGCGGTAGTGCATCGCTGGGCAAAGAGCTTAGCAAGCGCTTTTTGCATAAATTCCCTCATGTTACAAATCTTATACAAGGTAACCTCATTTCATTCGATCTGCGCAGTTAGTTTTCTTGAGAACCGCAATAAAGCAGGAACTCGCTTGAATGGAAGCCTTTTAAGCCGTTATCGAAGCTGAATCGCATTCTTTCTGTCATTATTAGCTTAATAGCAGTTTTATCAACTCCCCTCCCTCACTCCTCCCGTCCACTCCGGCCTAAAAAATTTAGCACAGCTGCTTCGTAGTTTCCTACGAGTTACGGTGTAAGTGCTACAGTTCTCTTTAATAATGTTTTGGCTGCTGAAAAGGAGAAAATGGCCCAAAGAACTGAATTAAAATTACAGTCTCGCATTGGTGCTATTTGAACCGGTCGACTGTTCTGTGATTAGATAACTTCATCCGTACTGTATGAGTACCGCTTTTTATGCGTTTTTGCCTATATACAAATTGCAAAAACGCATATGTGACGACCCTGTCTGTGTGTGTATGTATGTGTGTGTATGTTTGTGTGTTTGTGTGTGTGTGTGTGTGTGTGTGTGTGT